GAGGAAAGAGAAATGTTATCACGTAGGTGCTGCAGCCACACGGTCGGTACCAACTCATGACAGTGTCCTACCTTGGCAGCAGTTTCGCTGCCCGACACTGAAAAACAAATGCGCTCACCGCCAGACAATGCACCAACAACGCACTCACGACAGTGTCCTATCTTGGCAATAGTTCCGCTGCCCCGACACTGAGCTCAGCACAGTCACTGTACACTACCTAATCGTCCCCTCCGGGTATTTTCTGCATCTGCTGGTCCAGCATGTCGTCACAGCTAATCTGGATGGAGGTCTGATGAACTGGACCGCCACTGTCACTCGGATGCCACACGTTCAGCGCTGAGCTCTCCTGTCCCGCAGCCTTGTCAGACTCCTGCTCACTTGTCTGGCTCAGACTCATGGGCGGCAGGCGCACTTCGACGCACTCGTCATCTGACTCTTCACCAGGCTCGTGCTCGTTTGTCTGGTTGATGGGCTGCTGGTGCACTTCGACGCACTCGTCCTCCGTCCCCTCACATGGGTCTTCAGCTTCCGTGCATTCGTCATTCTGGCCGCCGGGCGATGACTCAGAATCCTCGAATTCAACAGCGGAGCTCTGGCTCTCGTCCTCATCGCACTGGATGTCATGACTGTCGGAGGTGGCGTCGTCTTCCAGCTCAGCACGAGTCACAGGAGGCACAAACCGGTCCGTCTGCATTCGACGGCGTTGTCGTCTGTCGGCGCCGTAGATGTCATAAACAAGATCCGGGTTGCGCTTGCACGGACCTGCAACAACTCCTGACCGCCGCACCGGCGGTTGTCTTGCTGGTGGTGTCACCGCTGCCGCAGGCCCCCTCAGCGATAGTCGACTGACCACCTCGTGCTTCGTGCCCCGGACTTTCACACCACGAGTCGCTGCAAGAGCCCGCAGCTGACGGATGGTGAAAGAATTGAGCTCTTCTTCAGTGTAGCGGCCCGCAGCGGCATCCATATTAACAGAATTCAGCCTACACCTAGAACCTCTGCCTGCATGCAACTTGACAGGATGTATCTTGTCGTCTGCTGACATCGCACATGCGGTCTTGTTGTGTTCTGATGCACCCGGCATGAAATTGCCTTCCTTGCTGATGCGGCTACCCAGATTATGGGCACACAGAAGCAGGAAGCCGAAAACATGCCCGACCAACAAAGTCATCCAAGCCCCTACACCCCATGCCCAAAACCGACACCGAGACTTCCAAACTCTAAGACCATGGAAAAGGAGGTCGCAGGGGCCTAACATTCGTAGGCAGCATAAGGCCACGTTTTTTTACCACATCAAAAACTTCGGGCAACTAGCTGTGCTCCACCCCCGGCGAGACTTCTGGGCTATCCCGGCGTAGTCCTAGTAGTGCAGCCGCAAAACTGCAAGAGCTTCCACTACATCAAAGCAAGCTCACAAACAGATCGCACCCAGGTAGCCAGGCAAGTATTGCGGCTGGATTCAAGGTTTTTCAAAGGTGCATATATGGACAAGGTAGGTGGAAACCTAGGCCAGAGAATGAATAAAATAGATAGATAGATAGGTAGGTAGGTAGATAAGTAAATAGGTAGAAATTCTAGCAGATGTGTAGACACAAAGTGCGGTTCCAGTTCGAAACGGGACAGTACACAGGCATATCACGTTCCCGAATAATTCGCAGGATCACTCAATCAGTCAGCTGCGGCGACAATCTGTTTGAGGTTTGGGCCTCTTGGAGGGTGGGTGCTTGCCTTCCCAAAAGCACCGGTACGGCCAAAGCCCTGCAACCCCGCCCTAAGACCCCAAAGCCCTGGACCCCTCAACCCCGAAGCCACGAACACATGCATTTCCCAGAACCTTGGAACACTAGAACCCCGAGAACCCTAAAACCCGAAGCCCCTAACTCCAAGCCCGAGAAGCGCCGCACCTCATAGAAGCCCAAGCTCGAAGCGCTGCAGGTAAGATCCTGCAACTAAAAGCCAACCGGTTTTGTCTATCGCCCGGGGTAAGGTAGGATGGAGGCTGGCAAAAACCATTTGGAAACAAGACTTGCAGGCATGTC